TCAAACCTCATGTCAACTTATATTTGTTTGTCCAAGATGAGAGAGGAAAACACTAACATCTGAAAAGACCATCAATTCGTTAAAGTACATCATTCGGAGCACAATGAGTGGGTCTCTTATCACGAGAGGCTTCATCTTTTAAGAAGAAGAATTGTTTTGTACCCACTCAACAAGTGTCGCAACTCCAAACCCAGTCGCAGCTTTCTTCTTTTCATTCCACACCGGTCCAGCCATATCTATGTGCATCCACTCAACTTTCTCGCTCACAAACTACAACAATTCACCAGACCCCGGTTCTTGGTTAGAGAACAATTATGTAAAGTATTCATTCTTTGCTTCTACTCTATCCAATTCTCACCTGTTTCAAGAAGAGAGCTGCGGTGATCGATCCACCTGCACGGCCTCCCGTGTTAACCATATCCGCAACACCTGATTTCATCATCTCCCAGTAACTCTCTTCCATTGGCATCCTCCAAAGCTTCTCTCCACTCCTCTCTGATGCAGCAATCACCTCCTTTGCAAGCTCATCATTAGGCGTATATATGCCTGCAGCAAACGAAAAAAAACAAACCGATATTCAATCATCATGACTAAACGTTAATCTGTTTAGTTTAGTTTCTAACAAGCCTATGTACCTACCTGCCATTGATGTTCCAAGAGCAACAACACAAGCCCCGGTCAACGTTGCAAGGTCAACAATCTACAAGGTAGTTCATGTTTTAATTAGCCTCTTCTATGTATCAAGAAGTAGAACAATCTTCCAAATAATACCTTATCGACGCCTTGATTGCAAGCATACACTAGAGCATCTGCAAGTGTTAGTCGACCTTCAGCATCTGTGTTGTTGACCTGCAGAATACCACCAACAAATTAGTTTGATTTAAGAAAAAAACAATGAGAAGCTCAAACATTTGAAGCTAAATTCATATAAGAAACAAATGTTATGATACCTCAATTGTTTTTCCGTTTGAGGCTGTGATGACATCTCCAGGTCTCATTCCAGTACCACTTATCATATTCTCACAGGCTGCGACAATGAAGTGCACCTGATTTTGCAAACAGGAATTTGTTAAGTTACATTTACTTGGACTCAGAAACTCAAGTTTCCAATGATAAACTTTACCTCAACACCGGGAGGCTTAATTTGACCAATGGCTTTTGCAGCACCAAGAACAGCAGCTGAACCTCCCATATCGAATTTCATGAGCTCAATTGAGCAGCCAGGCCCGGTCTTAATGTTGTAGCCACCGCTGTGAACAAAAACCATATGGTCAATAACCAATAAGTATTAAAAGAAAGAGATGGATGCGGAAAACAGAAGACAACTGCTCTGGTCATTACCTGTCAAATGTCAATCCTTTCCCAACAAGAGCAAGCTTGGTCTTGACAGTGCCACTAGAAGGTTTGTAGACAAGGTGGATGAAATGAGGTGGATTACCTGAAGCAGCAGCTACAGCGAGATACGAACCCATTTTCAGCTCTTTGCATTGCTCCTCGTTCAAGATGTTTGCAGTCATGACATCGCTATACATGGAAGCCAGGTTTGAGGCTTCCTCAGCTAGTACAGCTGTAAGATACAATGTCACAGTAGATTAAAGCCCGATGATTGTAATAAATTTCAATCCACATCATAAAAAGCATGAAAAATGTAAGGCTATGATGCTCAAGAAACAATCCATACCAGGGGTGAGAACGTTGGCAGGAGAATTAACGAGTTCTCTCCCGAAAATTACGCCATAAGAAACATCTTCGGCATACTTAAGCTTCTTCTCTAGTTCAGGTCCAGAGCCAAAGCCAATGATATCTACAGATTTGAGAGATGGCTTCTTCGACTCAGACTTATATCTGCTGTCTTCAAACAAACCAAGCACCGTGCCTGTCACAAGTAAACAACAATTCCACACAAAGATCAGTTCCAAAAACGGTAAAGAAACAAGAAACCTTCTCATGTTTACAAGAAGAAGAAAAAAACACCTGAAGCTATAGCTGAAGCAGAACTGAGCTTGGATTCATTAGAAGAGCTCTCTGAAGAAGCGAGAACAACTGCAACGCTGCTAGCTTGAGAAGCTTTTGCAGCTGCAGCAACAGCCTCGCCGAGACTTAGAAAAGCCGAAGGAGAAGAAGCAGATTTTCCAAGACCAATCAACCCGACCCGCTTTGACCCGAGACCCGGAAGCCTGAGAACTGTTGACTGGCCTGGTTTCCCTGAAAAATCTTCCTCAGAGGAGACATCGGCTAGAAGTCCACCCAAATGAGCATCGAGCTTCTTCAGTATCGGGTTCTCAAACTTGGAATTCACGTCCTTAGCCATGTCTTTCTCCGTCACTCCAACCGCAAGTATGTCACCTTTCCATTCCGTCACATCAATCTCCTTCGCAGCGAATGAGATCTGATACAGAAAATGCACCAGTTAACACCAAAAAAGCCAAACTCTAACACGATCTCGATTACGAACTCTCTGACTATAACTTGACCAATATCGATTTCGAAATCTGATTAAACAACGTTCCTAACTAAGCAAATTCTCGGATTCAAATCAACACAAAATCTACGAAACAGTCGCAACAATCGAGTAACCAAATGTACTATCCCATAAGCAACGAGGATAACCTTAGGATGATCGATGGAGTTAGGGTTAGTGAGACCGAGAGTAGCGTGTGCGATTGTGTGAGCCATAGCTCTAGCTCTAGAAGAACAGTAGAGAGGCGTGACGGCGAAAGCGATTTTAAGACGAGGCGGCAATCGGAATCGGACGAAACACGAGGAGCACGGT